AGTCGTGGACAATACAACTGCTACAAGCAAAAATGAACAAAAGAAAGTTTAAATATCAAAAAATAATCATCTAATCATTTAAACTTCTTCAAATCTAAAAGGTACAAAAACAACAAAAATTCAGAACTATGTGAAAACGAAATACTCTATTGGCATATTCTCCAACTACTTTCCATTAAACATGCTCCACCAATTTACCTGGATTGGACCTCGTGAGAGAGGTAGAGTAGACATTAACTAAACAACACAAAGGTAGTCCTGAGTGGATTATGTGAATTTCACGCTTCAAAAGTTACTATATCCTTTATTCTAAAGCCACTCCCGGATGACAGCGACATCGGCGATGGGTATAACGAATGGAATAAAGCATGTGCTTCTATTAGTTTTTGAAATTGAAGGGAGATAGAAGGAAATAATGTAAACATTTTGTTCACTCGTAAAATGGCAAAATTGCTCTTTCCGTGTACAAGATATAACGAAGGAAATCCATAAGTGGATTGACATCAAAAAATCAAATTTGTACTAAATATAAACGAGTTCAAATAATGAGTGAAAATGCTTGACATTTATAATTTATAGAGTAAAACGAAACTGTAAAAGCATAATAATTAAGTCAAATATCAAAAATAACAAATTTTGATAAGTTTAAAAACTGAAACCCGGACAAGGGAAATTTAAGTAAATATAAATTTATTTTTCAATAGAGGGGCAAAATAAAATTACTCATTCTATTTTAATGAATAGGACAAATAATCCTTTTAGAATTCCATTAAATGAGTAAAATTATAATTTAAAAATAGGACCGGACCATTCAAATGATTAATTGAAAATATTTCAATTTTCATAAATTTAAATCGAAAAACATCAAATAAATATTATTATCATCCTCATATTATCGTTTATAAATTCCTCTCAATATCAAAAGAAGCGTTGTACTGGCGGAGCCAATGGTGATAATGGACGAGATCTCTTTGCAGCTAATGTTGGAGTGTTATTATATGGATCATAAAGTGACAGAAGTTCAGCAACTGTCCGAGCCGCAGATGAAGTAGAAGCATTAGAGAATATCTGTTCCCCTGCAAGATCATTTAACAAACTTGTAGAATTTGATTGATAACGAGAAGGTATGTCAATTCGACGAGATCCTGGAGTGAAGAGACCACCCGAAACATATTGAGGCGCAGATTTCTAAATAAAAATAAAACAAAGTTTTGAACTAGAAAACAGGCTTATTGTTAAAAATTATTGTAAATAAAATTAAGTTATAATTGTAAGCAGTGCTGGGTATGGCCAAGGAGCTAGCCGGCTTCGGCAGGGCTTAGATGCAGGGCCCTCTTAATCCCCTAATATCACTTGATATCCCCCTTAATCTACCAAATCACACCACCCGAATCCGGGTGGTGATTTTCCACCCGGAGCCGGAGCTAACAAAAAGGTTTGAAAAAGGTCAGAGCCGGAGAGAACAAATGCCCAATGAATACCCAACACTGTTTGAAGGGATGTGTTTAAAGAGAGAAGACAGCCAGCCAGACTCATTGATCGAAAATTTTTTATGTAAATATTAAAAATTCAATTACCTGAATGGGAGATGAAGAGTAAAAATTTGGAGTAGAACGTAACTCAGTTTCATAAGAACGGTCGTTTAGAATAGTGCCGCCGCGTACAAAAGGAACACGAAAATCAGAAGTAGGTTCATCATCGATCTAAAAAAAATTTTTTTTATTTTTAATAAATAAACTACATATATTTTTTTGGTTTACAACTAATATTCAAAAGAAACTAACCAAAGAAATTTGCTCACGTTGTCGTTGCTCTGTAGCTTGTAATTGCGTTTTCCACAAATCCAACATTCCTCGACGCGTATCTTCGGGAAAAGTTGAACGTTTACCAAGTATAGAATTATTCGCAGGTGGAAAAAATTGATGATCGCTAGTGCCGCTTAAGAGAGATAAATTATCAGTTTGTTGCTGTAGTCGCAGAGATTCAAGCATATCACTTCCACTGTTGTATAAATCAGTAGAATTGATAGAATTAATCATTCCTGATGAAGTCCACCCAGGTTTTACACCGGGTGTTGAATGAACAACAGGTCGAGTTGAATACTAAAAATTTATAAAATTGAAAACAAATGGTATATGAAAGAATCGAGTCAAAATTGAAGGGAAAACGGCTTGTTTGTGTCAGAAAAAAAAGAAATTTTTAAAGTATTTATTAAAATTACCGCCTGATATGCCTTATATCCACTCCACTGTCTTCCACGCGATGGACCAGCTGAGCGAGGTCGATTTACTGGCGTTCGGTCTGAAGTTGATTCATATTGAGCAGTCTTTCTATTTTGGCGTGATTTATCAAAATTTGGACGACTAACACGATTAACAATTTCTGAACGAGTAATTTGCCTTTCTCTATCTTCCTTATCTTCTTTATCAACGGCTAATTTCAATGCCCTTTCTATTTCTTGTTGTTTTCTGTCGAGAAATTCTTTTGTTGGAAGGATTTCATCAACCTAAGGTTTTCAAATTATTTTTAATTTTTAAATTTTTCAGTTACGTAATGACGATGCATTATTCGAAGCCATTCACGAAATTCTTGTTCCTCAATTTTAAATTGACTTGCAATTTTAAATAAATTGCTAATTGTAATTGTGCCAATAGAATTTAAATGCAAAACTAATTCTTTCTTTTTACTATCATTTGAAATGTCACTTGTTTCTTTATCTTTTTCCTCCTTAACCTCAACCATTTCGACGCGCTTGACTTGATCAATCTTGAAAAAAAATAAAAATATAACGGATTTTTAGTTATAACAATATTGCTTCAATTAATTTTATTGAAACGTTTTTAAGTAATGAATAAATAACCCTTTCACTATGGTAGTCCGAGAATTAATTTCTGAAACGCAAATTATAAAACAAAGAAAACCCCAATAAAAATTAAGTTTAAAAAAACTTTGAATTGTTTAGCTGGCCCAATTTTCAAACGAACAAAACAGCCAGTCATTGTCATATTCAATAATTCAATTTGATCAGAAAGTATCGAAAGCTTTTTTAAACGTTGATGTGTTAACAAACAACCATCCAAATCACGTGCTGATTGCACAGGCATGTTCTTATATTTTTCATTTTCTGAATTTTGATCCTTTTCTTTAAGAGATGGCAATGTTGCTGCTTCAGTTAACATCAATTGAAGTATAGCAGCTTTATTTCGAATCTGATCCAAATTTGGAATTTCTTCATTCTAAAAAAATAATTTTTTAAATAAATTGAAAAGAATTTTTTAACCCAAAAATTCATATCTTCAATCCAAACTCTAAAACCATCCTCATTAACAATAGAAAAATCATCACGTAACCAATTTAAATTGTATTTGCCATAATAGGGAAGGACAAGCTGATAATCAACAACAGCAACATTCTTAATTTTATACTCTTTTCCGCTTCTAATACACTTTTTTATAGGGCAAATATGATATTGGCAATTTTGTGGCTAAAGAAAAGAACTTTTAAATTAAGCATATTACTTAAATAATTTACTTTGTCTTTCCTAATTGCCTGAATACAAACAAAACATCCTTCAACAGTTTGTCGAAAACGTTCAAAATCCAATTTTGACAAATTTCGAAGTGAATCAATTCCCAGTGTTATTTGTTCTAAATTATTTATTAAAATTATAAAAAAATCTAATTAAACCTAAATTTTCTTTTTTAATTTTAATTTTGCTAGGAGAAATTTGAATTGTTTTTTGTTTAGGAGTTTCTTTAATTTGTTTCATTGCAGAAAATAACTCTGCCTCCTTTTTCTTTATAAATTCCATTGTTGGCAGTTTCCCATCCTAGAAATTAAATTTTTTAATTAAAAATTTTTCCTTACTTTAGCCTCAACATAACATATCCATTTACGGATATCATTATCATTAACCTCCACGTCAAAAATATTTCCAATTTCAAAATCACCAAAATTAACAAGTCTAAAACGCCGATTAAACCAGAAATGTTGAAAACTCATGGGCTCGAAAACATTCTCAATTTGATCAAACTAAAAAAAAATGCTCATATTCATTTAATTAAAATTTCTTACAAAAAGTAAATCTTTGAAGTGTTCTGCAATCCCTGGTACGTGCACACGAACGAAACAACCAATTACAGCCTTATGAAAAGATTCGGCCGATGCCTCACCAAGAACATTTAAACGTGTTTTGGTCAAAACAATCTTCTTTAATTCATTCGTTATGTTAAGATTTTCAGCATTTGCATTTGTCGTTTCCAAATGTTGGATATCATTATCAATTGAGGTTATTTCAATATCATTGTGGCTCAGTGAGTCAATACTTTCTTCCTGGGTAATATCGCAGAACTAAAAAAATAAATAATATTGACTTTATAATCTAAAATTATTTTTCAAAATTATTTAAAACCTCATCAGACAAATTAATTGGTTGAACAACTGTCTTATTCTGCTCATCATCATCAGATATGTCAACTACTTCAGTTTTAATTTCCTTACTCCGCGGTTTTTTTGTAATTTCACGAGCCTTAGTTCCATTCGTTTGATTTTTAGTTTTATCAATGTCTGATAACACTGAAATTGAAGGTCCAAACATTTCGTCAAACCATTCACTTGGTGGTAAACTGAAATAAAATAAATCTAAAATTCATTAATTTAACAAGAACCTGACATCAAGTGCTTTTTCTGTTACTGAATTCATTCCTGCTTCATTACAATTGTTGTTGTCCAACTGTTCAGAACTCATAATAAAATTGAAAATATGAAAAATTCACTAAAAAAGGCAAACTCTTCAAACTAATAATTAACACTAATTAAAAAATAATTTCGTTAAGAAACATGTAAATTTATAAAAAAAACAAGAAAATCGAAATTTATAATTATTATAAAACAATCTATAAAAAATTAACATAATTAATTTTATAATAAATGAGCTCTGAAAATAGAAATATAAAGAAAATATAAAGACCTAATTCAACTTTAGTTTTATATAATACAATTTAATTCTTAAGTCTTTGCTGACTATCCAAGATAAGTGAGACAGCTTCCAAAAGATTATCAACAATAAGTTCAGGTTTGATTGTAGGATGTTTTTCCCATTCCGGTCTAAAATTTAAAAAAAAATCAAATAACTAGTGGTGAATAAATTTAATTGATTTCTGATTTTGTAAATTTATAAAAATAACCTCCATTTCCCAGTCCGAACTTGTATCCCCTTGATTCCAACTTTTTGTGCTCCATCAACATCTCCAGAAATGTCATCACCAATCATTACAACCTAAAAACAAATTTTTTAAATGTTTCTGGTACAAATTAAAGTTTTTTTTCAAATATAGTAGTTTTAGAATCGAGGTATTAGTAGTAAACAAACTTATTTTAGTTTCTTTTCATATAACCTGTTCTTTTGTCAAGCCAAGGTCTTCAACTGCAGACATAAAATAAGTTTCTTCTGGTTTTCCAATCACAAGATGCTCACAGCACCTTCCAGCATCCTCAACAGCAAATTTTAATGCTGAAGCATAAGCACCCGTGTCCAAACACGGTCCTTGGTCTGCACGGTGGTAAAACTTACCATTTCCCAACGTAATCAAAAGTGGATTTGAAGAGGAATGTAAAACACGGAATGCTTTGTTCATATTTATAAAATCCAAATCTGACTCTGCATCAGCAAGTACAACACAAGGGCGGCCATTTGGAGAATTAATGCAATTAGAGAATTCGGACAAAACGTCTAAAAATTTTAAAATTATTAAAGCATCATAAACTGAAATTTAACTGTTGTGGACAAGAAGATGAGGTGACAACCCATGTTTGGTTAAATATTTTGCGGCAACAGGTGCAGGAGTAAAAATATGATCCGGTTGAATAGATTCAAACCCAAGTTTACGAAGCATTGTACAAATTCCTTCCCTCGTTGATGAACTTTCATTACTCACAAAACGCACATTGGACTCACTATAAAGTCTAGAAAAATGAATTTTAAAATAGGTAAACGCTGTAAAGAATGAACCTGTTAACAGCTAAAATGGATCCATCAATGGCAATTCCACCGCTATTGTATAAGACACCTGTGATGTCAACTAAAAAGCCTCGAATAGATTCGTACCAATTTTCTTCAACCATTACTATTAACAATAACACTAAAAATGGGCACTACTAAAGATGAGGGTGCTATTTCTGCGGACTTTTTTTGCGGACTTTCTTTCTTTTTTAATGTTTCTTTTTAAATGTTTTAGTTGTTTTGCTTGCAGCAAGTTTTGCTTGTAGCAACTAACTGTCAAAGGATCATTTTTATGTCAATTTGAATAACGTAAAATGTTACAATCAATAAAAAATTTTACTTTAACTAGATTGTATGATAAAAATTCAATTACCCGATGTTGAATTTCAACAATGGATCACTGATCTCGGAATGCTTCATAGAAAAAGACCATGCGATTTTGGAACAGTATGCGGGTTATTTCAAACCCTGTCCCCCCTCCCATTATTTTTCTTACCTAAGATTGTACAAAATGGTCAGATTTCCTTCTTCCTCTATTTGAGCTTGGCATATTTAAACAAGAGACATTGATAAAGAGAAGATTAACTTAAATTGAGTTGTTCAGTAATGCGTTCAATACATTTTTTCAGTTGTTCAATATTTTTAAAAATAAATAAGAATGTTAAAGGTTTTACACAAATTCGTAATGTTATACACCAAATCAATTTTATTTAATTCTTTTTTTGTTTAACCTTGTTTTAGGAGGCAAAAAATAAGTGTATGACCTATAAAATTAATCTTCTCTTCATCAATGTCTCTTGTATGAATATGCCACAGGGCAAATAGAGGAAGGAGAGGAAGAAGAAAATCTGACCTTTATGTACAATCTTAGGTAAGAAAAATAATAGAGGGAGGGCCTTTGACAGTTAGTTGCTACAAGAAAAACATTTAAAAGAAAGGAAAAGTCCGCAAAAAAAGTCCGCAGAAATAGCACCCTCATCTTTAGTAGTGCCTAAAAATGAATGTAAACACACTAACTAACTTCCTTCATGAACCCGCCAACAAGGCATGAAATTCACCCGACCATCCCATGAACTTGGATGAAATTTTCGCCTATTATGTAACATTTCGTCACTCTCCATTCCGTCACATTTTCCGTAAATTGTACATACTTTTATTTGTGTACCTAAGTTCGGTAAAAGTACTGTCAACGAGATCTTTTCAGAGCATTTGCACTTTAAAAATCGTCTCGTTTTTCCATCTGTCACGACTGGTTAATTTTCCTTTTACAAAAAATGTTTAAATATCAAGTTAATTCATTTCATTTACAAATTACTTGTTCATAATTTCTTTTTCAATCTATGTAGTTATCAAATTGATAAAATTACCTAAGCACGTGGATGTCATTTATTTTTTAAAATTAAGACTTCCTTTTCATGACAAATCCCCTCTTCTTTACCCGCCTCACAAAGGATTAATTCAGCGTTCTATCGATTAATCTTTTAATACTTAACGCCAGCTTTTCGTAAAAGGAGAGTTTTCATGTAATATTTTTCTTTAAAATGCAAATCCTCGTACAAATTTATTTTATAAAATCTGATATCATTCATAAAATTATTATTTTTCTTATTTCTTAAATTAATTTTTAGTTAATAATTGTGATGGCTTCTGCATTTCCTACACTTTCACCAACAGCATCTACAATACGAAAAACATTTTTTGATACAGCCGGTGTTGGTGTAATTTCAGGAAGTGCTATTTTCGCAGTTTATCCAGTTACTGAGGTTTCTTATTTTTCTTATTAAATATTCTATATTTATTTTTCTCTTTAAAAAAATTTATATTTTTTGTTTTTAAGAGGAAAGGAAGAGCTCGAAATTTTCATGTTTCTGTACATATGACTATGTTTGAAGTGCACAAAACTCTAAAGGATGCTCGCAACAAGAAATCTCCTAAATATTTGGTAAATTTAAATTATTTCGATTCATATTTAACTTCCCGGGAAAGTAAAATTACTAGGCACTGGAAGAACGAGTAAGAGTACATTCGATATTTTTGGGTTTCATCAGTAAATAATGAAAGCGCCGAGTTTAGTCTTATTTAGAACACTGAATTCGACTAGGCCTTTTTGTTTAAAATATTGAAATCTTATTATCCTCCGGCGAAACCTGAAAAAATCGAAAGCTATTTTTGTTCCTTTTTTAGGGGCATGCAGTCTTTGCCTTTTCCGTTTTATTTTATTTAAAATTTCGATTTTAGGTTGATTTTGGTGATGTATTCAATGTTTCTGTTCAAAATGAGCCTATCCAAATTAAAGATGATTGTATTTGCTTAATGGATCCGAACACTTCTTTTTTCTTTCGACCAACTGATTCTGAATATGATTTGCAAGCATGGTTTGATTGGATTCTTGAGAGAACAAGAGAATGTCGAAGTACTAAATTACTCAGACCTGTATTTCATGAAGAATTTTTTGAGGTTCTTTAAATTAAAAAATATAAATAATATTTTTTCAAGGCTGCATGGGATGTACAAATTATTTGTAAACCAAAACTTCGTCGTGATTATTCAAAAAAGTTACAACCAGAAATCAAAAATGATGATTTGGCTGAGAAAAGACCACAGCTTTTGGGGCTACGTCGCCTTTGTGTTTGTCAATCTTCTTTTTTGCTTTTCACACTTGGATGTCGCCCAAGTCCAAATGTTGATGCTCCTTTTGATAAAAATACTTTTATTGACCTATCGGTTTTTTTTATTTTAATTATTTACTTTATTTCTTTTCAAGTTGAATGTGATATCGAATTATGGAACCCAAGAACGGTTTTTCTTTGTACGCATTGGCAGGTGTTCAGAAATCGGTAGCGGTGAATTGTGGATGGCTACAGAACATGGTTCTTCTGCACGATCTATTCATGAACGCATAAGCCAAATAAACCAGCGGGAGAGTGAACGGCGACGAGCACAGGGAATAAAAATTAATCTGTAAGTAAATTTTATGTTGAAGAAGAAATAGTAAAAATATTCTATATTATAATTTCATTTTTTAAATTTTAGACCAACAATTAGTTCTAGCGTTCTTAAAAGTCGAGCACATAGAGAACGCTCTCAAACACAAAATACTAAAAAGTTATCTAAATTATCTTCATCTAACAATAAGCAACCGGAAATGAATAAAATTGACGAATCTCACAAAGTCTCTTCAAACTCTACTAAAGATGTTGGACTTACACCAAAACTATCAAATACAAGCCAAACTGGGTATTTTATTTTTTTTATAGTAATTTTATTTTTTTAATAAATAGACAAGTTGATGCTAGATCAGAACGAGTAGATTCATTTAGTTGTCTACAATCTATTCCCGAGAAAAGTTTACTTGGTGAAATGTCTGAACATCTATCGATTACTTCTGGCAAAAAGAACTCGATTGTAGGACTTTTTACATCAAGGCTTGGTGCAAAAATGTCTACTGGAAGTTCTGGAAAGCAAACAGAAAATAAAGCTGATCATTTGTCAACTCCTTGTTAGTTTATATTTTATTTGTTTGAACTTCCAAGGAACTCTACTAATTTTTTTCAAAAATTTAGATATTTTGAAGGAAGAAACTGTAAACAACGACAACACTTCTCTAACAAATGTGCCTGTCTCTTCAAATCAAAGCGGATATAAGAATTCAGTGGTCAGTTCTGTTTTTGGAATTCGGACTAGAAGGAACAGTTTGTCTGGCAGTTCACGTAACCAACAATCTACTACAGTCCAAAAAGCTCCTATGACTTCCTCTTCGAGCGTTTTTAGTAATCAACCCAGTTATGATTGTGCAGAAGATTATATGACTTATGATCCGGATGAACAACATAGTCAATGTGGGGGTCATTCTCTTAAGCTAGGAAGTGTGAGCAGTAGAGTCTCTACAAGTGCGTTAACTAGAGCTGAATCTCGAAAGAGTAACAGCTCTATTTCTGGTGCATCATCTTTTAGACGTAAGAAATTTTTAGGTTAAATTCTAAAAATTAATGAGGTTTTGAGTTTTTTGATATTTTTATATTTTACAGAACAAGCATTGTCGAACTGCAGTTTTGGTCTACATCATGATTTGTATAGTTCATCAAAAGGAAGCCAGTCTTATGTTGGCAGCGAATACCTCGAAATGAATATTAAACAAAAGCCTCAAAAGTCAAATAATGGTTAAAACTACATTATTATATTTGTTTACATATTCTAATTTTTATAGATTCTTCCTTTCCGTTATGTGAAGTCCAGTCTTATATTTCTAATAGTTCAGATAGTTGTTGGACACAATCTAGTAATACACCACGTTCTGGCGAAATTAGTACTTGTCTTATTTTCATACTAAAATATTTATCTAAACTTTAGCACATCAAGCATCTCTTACTGTTAATCAGCCACGAGCACAATCGCCAGATTCTAGGCTTGTTGGTTGTCCTTCAGCTACTTTGTCAATTAATTCAGATCAAGTCGGAGGGATTGCTGGAAACAACGTTAAACCTTCACAACTACTTCATCCAACTTCGAATAGTTCACCACCAAACTACTTTAAGAAAACAATTCTTGGTCATAAAGCTAAATCAGTTAAAACACAGGAAATTGATGTGACAGCGACAAATGAACATTTAAAAAACAGAGAGTCTGACTTTGTTGAGAATAAACAATTAAGCGTTACTGATAATATATTGGCTGATGTACGAAAAAGAGCGCATTCAGTTGGTAGCAAAACTTGGTGAGGATTGAGAATTGTATTTTCAAAGACTGTTTTATTAATTTAAGGATCAAACCATCACTGAAAAAGTTTCAAATACCGTTTACAACAAAAAAATGTCAGGATACATCTGATTTACGTGTTACAGAACAAGTTGACTCGCGTCGAAATACTTTTGAAGCAAAGTCAACTTGTTCAGCTAGCACAAGTTGTTATCCGCACTCAACCGATGATCACGTGGAAATCGATTTTGGTATAATAGTTTTCTACTCTTTGATTAAAAACTCAATTAATTCAGATCGGGATGAGTCGCAATCAATTGACTCTATTCCTTCAATTCATTCGCGCCACTCTTCTGTAAGTGTGCATTGCCCAATGGGAATTCGATATACACTTGATACTACTATTCCTTTATCGCATACCCGAGGCTTTGGACCTTGTATTGGAATAGAATTGAAAGATGGGAATGAGAAAAAATCCCTCGAAAAACTTTGTCTCCAAAAGAATTGTTGGCGTGATTGTGGACAAATACGTCGGAAAAGAAGTGTTCCCGAAATGTTTCAGCAGCAGAATGAAACTAATAATAATAAATCGCCAGCTCAACAAAGCCTTGCACAACAACTAGCGACAAATGAATCTGATCAGCAACATCAATGCAGTTGTTGCAATAATCGACATCATTCTATTGCGAGTGACCATTCGTTGGCCTTGCGTTGCTTACGCTCTAGTGCTGAAAAACGTGGATGTGTATCTATAAGTTTGGCCAATTCTTCTCAAACCAAACGTTCTCCACCTCGAGCACTTTCTTCTCTTTCATCATCACAAATTCCAACAAGTCAGTCAATGGGGAGTAGTAGTGGAATCTCTTCTCGCTCAAATACCGAGTCTTCCTCAACTTCCGTAATAATTGAACGCGAAACTCGGAACAATAAAATGCCAGAACGCCCGATTGCAGAAGATGAAAACGATGATTATGTGATGTTAAGTACACCTAAAAGTCAACGTTCAGCAACAAATCCACAACAACTCACTGTGCGCTCCATATGTACAATTATGGAGTCTTCACCTTCTCCAAATTCGTCCCTTTCATCTGATGGCGAAAGCAAGAAACGAGCAGGGAAATTGGTTAGATTCTGTTATATTTTTTTCTAATTTGAAATTATTTTTTAAGACAACCAAAGATCGAGCCGTTTCTCATACACCATCAGTTCCTCCTGACGATACCGCGATACTAATGTTAGCAAGACGCAATACCAGAGCAGCTGGACAATCTCCTGTCCGTGGTGTAATCTCTAACGATTCGCCTGTTCGTGCAAGACTTTCGGTCTCCTCTAGAAGCAGAAGTCCGAGTCTATCACCTCACCAGCCGCATCGCAAATTCTCTTCATCTTCGACAACTCCACAATCACACACACCAGTACGCTCCTACTTTCCAAACCAACAACAAGATTTACAACACCGCGGGAGTCCCTCACCAACACGAAGGAAAATGTCTTCGGCTAGCTTTTCTCCCCAAGAACAGCGAATGGTTTTTGTGGATGCTTCAACTGATAAGATACGAAGAAAATTTACCTGTCCAAATCTTGCTACTGTTCCAAATTTTACTACAAGATCTCAACTTTCACATGCGTCTCGGCGATCTGTAAATAAGGAAAGTGAATGCAATGATTGCAATTATGCTCTCATTTCCGGGCAGGAAATTTAAAATAATTCTAATTTTTTTATTATAGTCTGACTCTATACGGAAAATTTTTATCTAAGAGCCTCATTTTTAGAATTCCCCGTTTGTACGCCCCTCAGTATACTAACAATTTTTAGCCCCAAAGGTGTGATTCAAGTAAAGTCCGACTTTAGCTAAACAATTTTCTATTTGCAATTATGCTCTCATTTCCGGAATCAAATCATCTCATTTCCGGAATCAAAATCATAAATCAAATCATATTGTTGATTTTGTATATACATTACTATACGTAGCAGACAGAAACTTCAGATTTAAAATTTCTTTAACTCAACTTATAAAACCAAAAATCCCCTAGTTTGTTGCATAAATTCTTCAGAATACAAGAAAATTTAATTGTATTCTGAAGTTTCTGTCTACAAATTTATGTAAATATTTCTTATATTAACTGACCTCATTTCATAATTTTCCTATTTTTAAACTACATTGGTAATTTAATCAGTTTTCATTTTTTCTTTTATTGTCAAATGTGCAGAAACTTACAATTAGTTAAAAGTATTTTTGGCTTAAATTTTATACATGTGTTTTTTGATTTTCTGTATTCATTTAAGTAAACTTAGATATTTTTGTTTATTTACTTGTGATCAAATCATATTGTAAAAAAATAAATTTAACATTTATAGCAAATACATACATATTATATCAACATTATTTAAAATTTCTAAAAAATTTTATTCTCATTCCTATTGTGTATCTCTTTGATTTAATTGTTCTTTATAATCCCAACTATATTCATCAGATCCTTTTTCAAAATAACGGGTCTGCCAAGCAATTTTCTTCTTTTCGCGTTGAGTACGTTCATCGCGTTGTTGTTGTTCAACTAAATGTTTTGCTTCTGTTGCAACTTCCAAATTGTTATGAAAAAGTGCTGCAGTGACATGCCTCCACAAGCGTCGACTTTCCTTTTCCTCTTGTTGCATTACAGGCACACATTCCTTTAAAAATATATTTAGCTATCTTTAAAATATATTCTTCTTAAATTTACTTTTACAACATCTGGTTTAGCACGTGTATCCACAAAAAGTCTATCTTTTCCACGATTTCCTTCACGAATAAATATTTGCCCATTCCATTCTCCTTTTAAATACATAATTGGTTTCTTAGAATTATTTCCATGGTAAATACTTCCACTTATTTGATGTGGCTTTCCAAATAATAAAGGTTTTCCATGAAATTCAATCTCTGCTCTATATTGAGTTTCTTCACAATGAATTTTTACCTTTAAATAAAAAATATGTCTTTAAAATTACTTAAATTCTGACTTTTCCTTCAAGTTCAAACCAAGGAGCAGAAGACATAACTAAAATTTTTATTTTAGTTATGTTTTATTCCATTTAAATTTTTATTAATTTACCTGCACGGCCATAAGCACTTGGAAATGTTATAGAATAATTTTCCTCATAGCGATGTAAAGTTAAAACTCCTTGGCCAATATTATGAAGTGCTTAAATTTATTCTTTAAAATTAATAATTAATTTTAAAATTTTCACCAATTGAGAGTCCAAGATAAACCGATTTTGTATAAATATAAGCATTGAAGGAAATATCAGACTTGGGATGTTCAGCATAAAAAGCAGTGATTGGGGGATGATGACTTACTTGTTCAGCTATAAATGTAACCTTAATTAACAAAATTATTTATTTCAATCTTTTTTTAAAATTAATTTACTTGATTTGTTGCTGATCCGGGGAATGGGCCATTTTTTGTTTTTTGTTTGCAAGGTTGTGTACCAGGAATTGTCCATCTACATCGAAATATTTCTCCAAGAACGGGGTTATAAGGTTTTTTGGCTTTACCACTTTTACGAGCGGGATAGAAAGAAGTAAGGTAATTTAATAAGACACAAAGGAAACGAGATTCTGGTGTACTTGGTTCTTTTGTTGCTTCAATAAAACAATCGGGATGAGCTAAAATTAAATATGTTAAATATTTATTTTCTTTTAATTTTTACCAAAAAAGTCTGCATACATTTCCAAAAGTGAACGACGTTCAAGAATAAAAGTTGGAAGAGTTACTTTCCCCAGATCCATGCCAATGCGGACCTTTAATTTAAATATTAATAGGTAGATGTGAAAGTCTCGATTTACCTGAGAAAGTAAATGCATCAAAACACTTCCGTGATGTTCATCTTGTATTGGAGTTGCACCATGAGCATCATGCCCCAAATCATAAATTGCATCAAAATCTTCATCAGAATCCCCCCAATCTTGTTCGTTTTTGTTGTTTATATTTTCTTTATTTTCTTCCTCATTATTATTCTCTTCCTTCTCTGTTTCAGAAGATTCAGATGGTTTGTCTTCTCCATTAATCTTTTGAATTTGAAGAGGACGATTACTACTTTCAATCAAGACTTTATTTTCAGACGATTTAATTTTGTCTTTATTTTCAACTTTTGATGACTTGCTTTCCTAAAAATTTAAGAAAATTTTAAAAAATCCAAAATTAATTTTTACATTTTTGTTTTCTTTTTTCTCTTCATTACTTTCCTCTTCCTTTTCCTCAACAATATTATACATTGTATGAGTCTGTTTTACAGAACGAGAAGTTTGTCTAGGTTGAATTGGATGTTTATGTTGACTTTTTGTTTCATCAATTATTTTTTCAGAAGGATTTGAGGAAGTCTCGATTACCGGAAGTTCGCTAGATTCTTGCTGAGAGAAGTCCTGAAAATATTCAAATATTTAATTAAACATAGAGGCTAATTTACTTGTTGTATTTCAATATTCGAAATATCAACATTAATTTGACTGTCAACCTTTATCTCGATCGGAGTTGTACCCGCCACTTTTGTTGCTTTTTTGGTTTTTGTTTTATTTATTATACGGCCTTTACGCCTTTTTGAACAACAAAGAACAAATACAAAGAGAGGTACAATAGAAAGAAAGCAAAGAGAAACGGAAATAATTGTCCATCCGGTCATTGGAATTGTTTTATTTGAAGAAATAAATAATTTAATAATCTTTTTTCATGTTTTTATAGTGGAGATATTGTAAAGCAAAACTTGCTATGACTAATCTATAATAATTAACTTTAAAAAATCTCGAGACCTGCAACTTGACGAGTTGTTTAATTTGAGTTGAATTGGATCTAATAAATATACTACTTAACTTTTATTGGCAACATTTTCTTTCAACTAAAATTACAAATAAATACTACAATTAAAATAAAACTTTCTAACATTATTTTTTTCTCATTATTTAGTTTATTTTTTACGAATTATTTTCAATTTCATTGATTAATATTAAAAAGCTCATTAAAAATTAATTTCTTTGAATCAAGATATAAAAATCTAAATTAATATTCAAATCTAGCTTTACATATTCGAAGATAAAAATCTTTTTAATTAAAAAAATAAAGGAACTCCATAGTTTATTTGTGATTTTATTTCTCCTTTCACTTCTTAAACAAAAATATTTCTTTCAAAATATTTTTAATTATGAAATTTTATTTATTTTTTTCAATTTCATTATTTTTATTATTATCTCAATTCTTTCCTTTTGTTTATTCTGTAATTGACAATGGAATTTTAGGAGAACCTTATGTTGATTGTGGAGGGAATTATATTGAAGTGGTTTGTAAAATAATAAAATTATTTTTTTTAATTAATTTAAAAAAAGCGTTTTGATACTCGAAATACATTTCGGGGAATTGTTTTTGTCGAAGATCATTTAAATGACCCTCAATGTCGATCTAGTCCAACAATTGATGATGAAACTAATGGAAGGGAAATTGGCCAAAGAAATGCTCAAATTAAATTAAATTTTTTTTCTTGTGGAATTAATTTTACAAAATATGTAATTTTTAATTAAAAAGGGGGGAAATATAAATATTTAAATTAAGGATAATCCAAAAGGAGTATTTTTAAGTGCTAAAATTGTTCTTGCTTTTCATCCACAATATTTAAGTAAAATAGATCGTTTATATGAACTTAAATGTTTTTATATGGAAATGGAACATCAATTAGAAAATGAATTAAATATACAGTTTTTTTATTTAAAAATATTTTTTATTTAATTATAAAAAAGGATGGGTCCCCCAACAATGCATACTAAACAAGTCCCTATGCCTGTATGTCGTTATGAGGTGCTTTTAATTTTATTTTAAATATTTAAATAAATTTATTTTTAGGTTCTAGCTGGGGGTCCACAAGGCCCTCCTGTTCTTTTTGCAACAATTGGACAAATGGTTAAAGAATTTTTGAAAGAAATATTAAAAAAAATTATTTTGTAAGGTTTATCACAAATGGACATGTGAATCGAGTGAAGAAAACCAATTTTGTATGATTGTTGTAAGAGAGAAAGAGAATATTTAGTCTTTAAAAATTAAAAAATTTAAGCATTCTTGTATTGTTGATGATGGACATGGAGATCGTGTTGAATTAATTGATGAACAAGGATGTGCTAAAGACAAACATTTATTACAAAATTTAGATTATATTTCTGATTTAATGGTTGGAAAAGAAGCCCACGTTTATAAATATGCTGACCGGGAAAGGTTGGAAAAGGAAGGGATATTATTCTCTAAAAAAATTAATTCTAGATTGTTTTTTGATTGTAAAATTGTTTTGAGTATTAAAGAACCTGGAACTGAATTTTGTCCAGTTCCTGAATGTCCAGATCCTCCAAGAAAACGTCGACATTTAAAAGAAAAAGAAAATAAAAATAATTTAATTTTAAAACACAAAAAAGAAGAAAAAATTGAAGAAATTTGTGAAAATTCGAATATATTTATTTATTCTACTTTAATTCCGTTAGATTTGGCTTTGATAATTGTTGCTATTTTATTAATACGTGATGGATTTAAACAATTCAATTTATAAAAATATTGAGAACCCTCTAATAATAATTTATTTGGAAGAAAAATAATTTTTAAATAAAAACAATTGTAATAATTATAAGAAAAAATATTTATTTTTGATTATTATTATGTCTAGAAAATACTTTAAAAAGAAAAAAAGAAAAGATTTTTTTATATTTTTTGCTTCTGACAGCCGTAGGCAAATAAATAATGAACTTACCTTCTTCTCTATAAAAGACCGCCCAATGAAAAAAAAATTGAAAAAAAGGTGGCAAATGTTATAAATAAATATAAAGAGAGAGGAGGAATAAAAGGAGGATGACACTTCAAAAAAGCTTTGAAAATAAGTGTGTGTTTCTCTTAAATAATTCATTAGGGAGTTGTTGTTGTTAGCCAGTCTTTCATTCTTTTAATAATAAAGACAAAAATATAAAAAAAAGAAAATAATGGCTAAAAAATAAAAAAAGTAAGTTCTTCTCTCGGTTGGATTTTCCAAAAGCATTCTTCCTCCTCCTCTCCCCCCCCTCCTTTCCCCTCCTTTTCCTCCTTTCTTTTCTTTTGTTCATTTTTTATATAAAGAATGGAAAGGAAGTGCAAGAAAAAAAGGAGATAAAAGTTAGTGACAAGTAGTTAGTTTTGCACTTTTTTAAATATTAAATATATAAATTACTAAATTATTTTATTACAAAAAAATTAAATAAATGCAAATTTAGTAACCCTTTAAAATATTTTTTTTCTTCAAAATTCTGTTCCTTCTTCTCCTCTTAATTAATTAGTCTTCTAAAATATTTCTTTAAAATTTATTTTAAATTTAATTATTTGCATAAAACAAAAACGGAAAGAACAAATTGGCCAATCAGAAAATAAAAGAAAATAAATTGGACATTGAAATCTAAGAAATAAACAAAAAAAAACATATAAAAATCCATTAACGTTGAGCAACTCCATTTTAGAAAAAAATGCCAAAATGGAAAGGGAAAGAAAGAATTACTAACTACTACATACTATGTTTTTACTTGTAAAAAAGGTTTTCTTTTGGCTTTCAACTTTTTTCTTTACGTTTTTTATGAATATAAAATTTTTTTTAAAAGTTTAGAATAATTTTAAGATTAAGAATTCTCTTATAATTTTTTAGGGGAATTTAATTTTTTGTTTAATTAAAATTTTTCTAAATAAAATTTAACAAAAATATTTTCTTCTTCTAAAAAACTTTTCTACAACAACTTTTATTTAATCCTTTTTACTTGTTATTTTCTTTTTCAATTTGCCAATTCCCGTCCCTCATTGCCTTAAGGCTTCTTTTAAAGATAAAAATTTGTGGGGACGTTAACGCATTTTTTATTAAATTTTATTGCTTTTTTGTCAAATTTTCTAATACACATTTTTATATGTTTTTTATTTAAATTTATATAGTTTCTATTAAAAACGGTCTCTGGACTATTTTAAATGTTTTATATTTGTTGCATTTTTTGGAATTATTTAGGAAAAAATAATAATTATTTTATAAAAATTTATTTAATTTATTTTAATATCTAAAAATAAACTATTTTCCTTCCTATTTAACCTAAAAATCCTCAAATTTCTCTTCACTAAGTAAAATTTCAGAAACAAAATTTTTTCCCATGTCTTAAATTTTAAAAATAAAAATAGACAAATAATTAAATTAAACAAATAATTATTATTTTTTAGACAAAAAATTAATTAATTAAATTTATTTAAATCTCTCTACTTTCTTTTTCCTTTCCCTCAAACCTTTTCCTTTCTATTCTTTTTACGGGAATATTAATATACCCGAATTTTTGGAAATCGACTATCTTCCAAAGTCTTTGAGTTTCCGTAAGTAGACTTGAAAGATTTTTCATGTCGGTTATTTGGTCTACCTCCGGTTTTTGTTCCATAACAAAAACTTTTGAATGTTAAAATTAAATTTTTAAAAATTATTTCATTTTTGGAGGTACTTTCTTTGCTTTATTTAAAAGAGTATTGTGAATTTGTTTAAAATTTTAATTAATTAATTTCTTATCTTTAATTTTTAAAAAATGAATATTTACCTGTTTATTTTTTCCAATATTTTTCTAAAATTTTCTTTTATTTACAACAAAAATTGTTTTCCTTTACTTAAAAAAGTTTAAGCAAATACTTTTTTCCCGCTGCCATTTACTAAATACATATTCTCAAAAATGTATTTTTCTAAACTTTTAAACTTTTTTTAAATAATCAGAAATTTCTTTATTTTTAATCTTTATTAATTAATTTTATTTAAATTTATTTATTTTTTACTTTTTGTTTAAATAAATTCTCTTTTTTGCCAATTTCTTTTACTTATTCCAATACTTTTTTTTCTAAATTTTTCTTTTTTTAATATATGCATTTCTAAACAAGCCCCGAATGAGTTTCAGATTTCGTTAAAGATTTGCACTTTTTTTAAATAAAAATATATTTTTGTAACAATTAGAAATAAAAATAAATATTCTCTTTTTTTATTTAAAAAATATTAAACAATATGTATATCAATTAATTAATTATCCCCACACATATTTTAGTTAATTAATTTATTTATGTTTTATTTTCAAAATCAACATTTCCAAAAAATTCCAATTTTTAAAAATACAACTTTCTTTTCTTTTACTTTATTTTTATTTTATCTTTCAATAATTAAAAGTATATCTGCTGGACAAATTAATGAAGAGGATGATCCTTTTATTTATAATACAAAGAAAAAATTGAAAGAACAAGTAAATTAATAAATATCTTGTTTTCTTACAAAATTGCCTTTTAATTAATTTAATTAATTTTTAAATTAATAACCTTTAATTAATAATTTTTATAGGAAATAATTCAGAAAGTTCTGCGAGATTATGGTTTTTTTAAAATTAATAATAAACAGTTGAATCTCTCGATATAACGAATTCAAAGGGACTAAAGAAAAAGTTTTGTTATTTATTGAGATTCAACTTTTTGCACACCTTATGTATACCTTCTATATATTTTCTAGATTGGCGAGTTAGGCCGCGGGGTAAAAACGAATCTTGGACAGGTAAGTAGTCTAAAACAATTAAATATTTTTTATAAAAATATTTTTAGACACTGGAGGGCCTGTTAATGTTACTGTTAATGTATATAATAATTAATTAAATTAAATTAAAAATATATTTAAAAAAGATCTATCTTCGTTCAATTTCAAAAATTGATGATGTTAATATGGAATGTTTGTGTTTATTTAGTTAATTTTAATTTAAAAAAATTAATTTTTAGATAGTGCACAATTTACTTTTAGAGAAGAATGGTGGGATCCTAGATTGGCTTATAGTAGATTTGCTGATGATGAGACAGAAGTTCCTTCTTTTGTTGTGTAAATAAATAAATAAATATTTAAAAGAATTATTTTTTAATTTAAAGATTAGCAACAAGTGAACAAGCTGATTTAAGTCAGCAAATTTGGGTATTTAAATAATTTATTTTTCAATTTAAATTAAAATAAATTTAGATGCCCGATACTTTCTTTCAAAATGAAAAGTATTTCTTTTTGAATTTTAATTTTCAAAAAAATTTTTTAAAGAGAAGCTAGAAGGCATTTAATTGACAAACCAAATGTTTTAATTCGTATACATCCAAACGGCCAAATTCTTTATTCTGTTAGGTAGTCTTTCTCAGACTGGTGCATGAATACGGATACCCGCGAATGGATATGGCTCAAAAGTTACACGGGTACAAATATTGACCTCACGGATATATCCGGACACGGATAGCAAAATCCGTATCCATGCACCAGTCTGGTTTTTCTGATGGATTATTTTGAATAATTTTTAATAAATTTAAAAGGCTTTCACTCGTTCTTTCATGTCCAATGTCATTAGAATATTACCCTTTAGATAGACAAACATGTTTAATTGATTTAGCTAGCTGTATGTGTTTTCTTTTAAATTTTAATTTAAAATTAAAAAAAGATGCCTATACAACAGACGATATAATCTATGTTTGGAAAAGGGATAATCCTGTCCAACAAAAATTAGGTTTTTAAATAATTATTTTAAAAATACAAATAAAAAAAGGTTTACGTCAAAGTTTGCCTTCATTTGAACTTCAAACAGTTTTGACTGATTCTTGTACAAGTAACACGAATACTGGTAATTTAAATTTAAATTAAAATATATTCTCCTCTTTTTGTTTTTGCTTAATTAAAAAATAATTTCATTTTTGCTTTTTTAACCTTTTTTTGCTAATTTTTTTGTTTAATTTTACCACTTTTTAATTTAAAATTAGGTACTTATTCATGTCTTCGTACAAAAGTATTTTTTAAATATAAAATAAAATAAAAATTAATTTTTTTAGTTAATACTTCGAAGAGAATTTAGCTATTATTTATTACAGGTAAATTAAGTAAAAAATAAATAATTAAATTAAAATTAAAGTTATATATTCCTTCTTGTATGTTAGTAATTGTTTCTTGGGTTTCTTTTTGGTTAGATAAAGTTTGTTTAAACAATTTTACAAAAAAGAATATTTTTTATTTAAAAAGGACAGCGTCCCTGCAAGAGTAACTTTGGGGGTTACAACGTAAATATATTTAACTTAAATATTTAAATTAATTCCCCTCCCCCAATAGATTACTTACAATGACTACACAATCTAGCGGTATTAATTCTGTAAGAATTTAATTTTTAATTAAAACTGATTTAAAATTTTTTTAAAGAAATTACCTCCAGTCTCTTACACAAAAGTAAATAATTATTTTTAAATTTATTTTTTTAATTAAAAATAATTTTTAGGCTGTGGATGTTTGGATTGGGGTTTGTAATTTTAATTTAAAATTTAAAATATTTTTGTTTACCTAAAGACAATTTTTGATAATTTTAAATGATAAAATTAGGAAAATTTTTTTAATCAATTTAAAATTCAAAAAAGCTCTCCGAAATAAAAATATTTTTAAAAATTTTTAATAAAAAATCCATTTAAAGGTTTGTATGGCATTTATTTTTGGCGCTTTACTTGAATTTGCTTTAGTAAATTATGCAGCAAGAAAAGATATAAGTTCAACACAACAAGTAAATATTTACTAAATTTAATTTAAATATTTATTTAAAGAGAATGATTAAATTACATCAACAACAATATACTTCTACTTCTTCCCCCAACAATCAACAACAACCCCAATCCCAACCCCAATTTCAATCACTTTTACATCCAATCCCAACATTAAATATACGACAAAATAATAACAACAATTCTAGACAATCTATGCAACAACAAAGATTGGGAATTTGTTTTCGTTTTTGTTGTAGATTATTTGTTAGAAGATATAAAGAAAGGTCTAAAAGAATTGATGTTGTTTCTAGATTGGTTAGAAAATAAATAGTAAAGCAAATATGTTTTTTGTTTTTTAAAGGTTTTTCCAATTGGATATGCTTGCTTTAATGGTTGGTGCTTATTTTTTATATAAAATTCTGATAAAAATATTTTTTAAATTAATTTTCAGTTCTTTATTGGGCTGTATATTTAATGTAAAAATCAACGAATTTGGACTATTTGTTTTGGACACAGTCAAACCTCAACTATAAATATATAAATCTTTTTTCACTCCAATCCTGATCTCTAATCGGAAAGATATACCTACATATTAAGGATCTAGCCGATCTAATTCCTGAAAATGGGAATTTAATTTTTATGTCGGCTAAATCCCTGATACATATGTTCTTAACCTCTTTTTTATGCTCATTATTGCCCAATTTATTTTTTTATTTTTGCTTTCCTTAGTCTTTATTTAAACATTTTAGTTTTGTGTTAGCTTTTTAATTATTTTTAATTTTTTTGTATAAAAATTTTGCTTAGATTTAGTTTTTGCTTTTTCAAAATAATTTTTTAATAAAAAATAAATTTAAAAAAATAATTATTTTATAGGAGAATATTCTTGTGTTCGATTAAAGCTTCTGTTGCGTAGAGAATATAGGTAAATAGATATATTGGGGTTATTTTATTTTTAATTTATTTATTTAGTTATTATCTTATTCAATTATACATTCCTTGTAAGAAAATTAAAATTTTTTAATTTAATTTTAAATTTAAAGGTGTTATGTTGGTTGTTGTTTCTTGGGTTAATTTAAATTTAAAAATTAATTTAAAAATTTTTAGGTATCATTTTGGCTTGACAAAGATGCTGGTAAATTTTTAAAAAATAATTTCAAAAATTAATTTTAATTATTTTTAAAGTGCCTGCAAGAGTTAGTTTAGGAGTTACAACGTAAATAAATATTTTAATTTATTTTTAATTAATTTTTAAATTAATTTAAAAGATTATTAACAATGACAACACAAGCATCGGGGATTAATTCTGTAATTTTTATTTTTAAAATAAAAAGATTTTTAATTTTATTAGAAATTACCTCCAGTTAGTTATATAAAGGTAATTAAAATTTCCAAATTTTCTAAATTAAAAATAACTAAAAAGGCCGTAGATGTTTGGATTGGGGCTTGTTTAGCATTTATTTTTGCGGCATTATTAGAATATGCTTTAGTTAATTATTATGGTAGAAGAGAATTTTTAAATATAGAAAAGAAAGGGAGAAGAATGGGAAGATTAAGTATGGCATATCAACAAGTAAATTTATTAAATTTAAAAGGAAAAAATATTTTAAAAATAAAAAGGAATGTTTATGTCCACCACCACCACCACAATTATTATTATCTCCACAAAACATTTATCATCCAGACTTTTTTGCACCAAAAACTTTAAATAATAATAATGTAAAATTTAAATTTAAAAAAAATAATTTTTAATTTTTTAGTTAACAAAAAATAATTCCTCCGATTTAAGCAAAACTCCACTAAATTTAGAAAATAATAATTTTTATCCAAAAAGACCTAAAAGAATTACAAGATTTGGATTAATAATTAAAAGAATTAAATATTTATTTGGTTCGAATATTGAATTATCTAAACGTGTAGATATTGTTAGTAGAGTAGCTTTTCCAACACTTTATGCCGGATTTTTAAGTAAAGAAAAAGTTTTTTTTGATTAAATTAAAATTAATTTTTTTTTTAGTTTTTTATTATCTTCGTTTTGTTATGTTTCAGTCAACTGAAGGATTTAAATAAAAGAATTTAATTTTAATTTATTTTTTGTTTTTAATTTAATAATTGTTGTTAATTTTTGTAAATTGTAAATTAATTAAAGAGTTAATTTAATTATAAAAAGTGGTATTTTCTCTATGAACCAAATGTTAATTTTAAAATCAAAGGGAATAGAGAAAACAAATTTTATTTCATTTAAATAATGAAATAGTTAAATTCGAAAATGTTTAATGATTTATAAATAAATAAAATTATATATTTAAAGCATAATTGGGGAAAAAGAAAAGGACTAACAAAATAAATTAAAATTATTATTTATTTATCTTTTAAATTATTTTTTTCTTCAATCTTCTTTTTATTTTCTTTTTTCTCTTCAATTTTCTTTTTACTTTCTTCAATTTTCTTTGCTTCATTTAATTTATCCATATTAATTCGAGCAAGTAATAATTTATTATATAAATGAATTATTCGAGCTTTTGATCTATAAGGAAATATAATTCCCATTACAACAAGAAATACAAAACGTTGAACAACAAAATTAAAAAATACCTACAAAAATAAATTTAATTTAAAAATAATTTTAAATAAACATCCTCCCAACCATTAACAAAAGAATAAGGAAAACAGGCAAAAATAGATTAGTGACATTATAAATCCAATCAGGTTTCGAAGAAGCATTTTTAAGGCATTTTTCATTTGTAAGTTCTTCTTTTAAATACCCCGTATAATTAAAATTAAGAATCTAAAAATTATTTTTTTTAATTTAAATTTTTTTTAAAGCACACCTCTTTAAGTAAATTAGCAACAACCCCCTCTCCATCAACTTTAATATTTAAATGAGAATAACTTGTTTGTTCACTTAACATTTTTCCATGTTCAATTACCTTAAAATTTTAAAAATTAAAAAAAAATATTTTTTTTTAATTTTTTTACAATTTCAAGCATTCTGTTATAATAATAATCGAGCATAACAATTGCAATAACAACAAATAATAAAACAATCCAACGAACAAAAGCTTTTGTCATTTTTCGAATTTCATCAGATCGAGGTAACCCAAAAGGACTAATTATATTATTAAATTTAATTTCTTCTTTTCTTAAGGATCCCAAATAAACTTTTCCTTCTCGTCGACGTTTTGAATCAATATGCCTAAAAATAAATAAAAATTAATTTAAAAAATTAATCTTTACCAAAAATAGGGTGTAGTAAAATAATTTTTAAATTCAATATCATTTAAATAATTCATTATAATTAAGACACAATTTTTAAAAACAAAATATGTAAACATAATAATTAAAAAAGTAAACATTTTGTCAAAAGTTGCCAAAATTATCTAAAAAGAATTTTTTTAATTTAATTTTCAAAAGATTGCCTTTATTGAGATTGGGGATTGAAAATAGGTATATAATTCTTGCCGATAATACAAAAAAGCATTTAATTGATAAATAAAAAATATTAGTAACTATTTACATATCTTAAATCTTTTCTTAAAGGTTTCAAAAACTTGTTTTTCTATCTCTTTTCTTTCCGATTTATTTTATTATCCCCTTTTTAATAACCGATGTTTTAAACTTTTTTTTTAAATTTAAAATTTCCTTTATTACCTTATAATATTCCAAATCATGTTTCATTTCAGTTTGTAATTGATTAACAGAATATCCTTGTTCTAATTCAGGTGCCTCTACAGCAACAAAATGTAACTATAATTAAATAAAAAATATATTTATTTACATCTAAATTTAAATTTATACATTTAAATGTAGTTGATGTTTAACTGTTTTACTTATATTCTCTAACCCCCTCATTTCACTATCTAATTCAGAGGAAAATAAACTCTCATGAGTGCCACGTGCAGCATCTTGTGTCTGGCCAAGTTCACAATATGTAAATGACATTTTTTTAAAACGATCAGGCTTTAAAGGAAATTGTCTTAAAAAATTAAAAATTTTAAATACTTTACAAAGAGTCAAAGAATTCATTGCAGAACAAGTAAAATAATGAATTGGAAAGGGTATTGTATCATAACAAAGACTCTATAAAAATAATTATTTGCAAAAATATTTTTAAACAACTTGTGATTCTTCAAATTTTTTATGGCAAGAAGTGACAGAACTTGCAAACATTAATTTACAACGTTTCATAAATCTTCCATAAATTGCTTTTGTCAAATGAGATTTAAGACGTTTTAATACAGGCTGTGAAACTCTATCGACTTTTGTTTCTCCAGTATCATCGTTATCTTCCCCATAAGTTTTTAATTTTCTTGTGGCAAGTGCCTAAATTTTAGAATTTAAAAGAAAAATAATTTAAAAACTTCAGCAGTATCAATAATTGCAGACAAATGTTTGTCATCTTCTGTGCTGTCTGAATCAATTTCTCCATCATACGGTTGTACTAATGAACGCAACATTTTTACAACTTTATTGCCTATTGAAGTAGCATTTCCTGGAAATTTTTAAATAAGAAAAGTTTTTTGAGGAAGCAAAAATATTGCGAAATAACAAAAATTGTGCAAGGGAGTTAGCCACATTTCGGGTGGGGCTTTAGATCAGAAGTCCCCTAGCTACGCCCTTGGGTATTGTGTAGGGTGTACACAAGTGAGAAAGAGAATTAAATTATAAAACATAACAATGATTGAAAACTAAATTTGTCTGAATCCTTCCCAAAACATATTCCATTTCCCATGCAATGAAAACAGAATTTTCATATTCCGAATCCCAATAAAAATTATTTATTTACATTTCAAAATATTTATTTACCAAAATGTTTCTCAAAAAGCATTTCTAAAGGCCCTGCTTGAATTTGCATTCGACGTTTAGCAACCCGTGCTTGTAATTCCAAATGGCAAAGAGTAATCTTTGTTGAATGTCCAAAATTAACCATAATATTTTGTATAGGCCCCAATCTTAAATTTTCCATAACATAAATTGAAATAACTCCTTGCCCTGAACTACTCAGTCCTGAGAGAATAGCAAAAATAATTGAACAACGAATTAACTTAAATAAAAAAATAATTTAAAAAAATAAAAAAGCCAAACAGAATTTAAAGAAAAAGAAAGTGCAGCAAAGCCAATCAAAAAATATTTTACTAAAAAAGCCCAAAATGAAGGAATAAATCTTGTATCAGCAGCAAAATTAATTTTATACCAAGCCAAATGGTAAACAAGTAAAGAAAGGAGAAATCCAAAGGGAAAATTGTAGAGAAACCGAAGAAGACGGTAATCCTTTGTTTTACTATTAAAAATGAGGAAAATTAGTAAATTATTAAATATGTATTTTTATTCAAAAAATTACCTGTAAAGCAAAATATCAACATATCTGGGACGCCCTTTTTTAATTTTCTTTTCACGAGAGGGTTCTACAAATAAACAACTATATAATCCATCTTCATTTAAAGTTTTCCAAAGACTTTTTGCCTTTTCACAAACCATTTTTTGAAATTCAAAAATTATTTAAAATATATTCTAAAATTAAATACAAAAATATTTTTTAATAAAAAAATTAATTAAAATAAAAAGAAAATAATTTTTATTAAAATTTAATTTTAAAAAAGAAAAAATATTCTCATCAAATTTAGGCATTTTTTAAAGTAAATTGCAAGAATCTAAAAATGATCCCCAACTATAAAATGATTCAAAATCTTCTTTATCTGTTGTTGTTGTAGCACTTTCATGAATTAAATTAGCCCTACCAGAAGGATCTTCATTTTCTTGCCATTTAGGTATCCATTTTAGAACCTTTGAAAAATTATTTTAAATTAAAATATAAAAATTAAATAATACAGTCTGTGCAGCCGCTTCACTTGGAAAATATTTATGGAATATTTTGCGAATATAAAAAGCCTAAAATTAAAAAAATTTCCAAAAAACACTTCCAAAATTACTTCTTTAGTAGTTGGTGTATTATGTGGAAATAAAGAAGGGGCATTATCCATCTTAAAAATTATTTAAATTTATAATAATTCTTTAGCTAACCTCTTCATCGCTAATTTGACTTTCACAAAAATCTTTCAATTGATCAATCCACCCATAGCCAACACCATCAGAAAATTGTTCTTTTTGTCGCCAAAGGATCTCATCAGGCAAAAATGGGTCTTCCTTTAAAAGAAAAATTTAGCCATTCAAAATTTAAATATTTAAAAAAACCTCTCTTTCAAAAGCTTTTCTTAAAATCCATTTTTCAATAGGCCTTTCACCTCTTCCAGTCTCTTTCTTTGGTCGTTTATATTCTGGATTTATATTCATAGCCAATTGAAGGAAATTTTTGTCCAAAAAAGGAACACGGACTTCCAGTGAATGTGCCATACAAGATTTATCAGCTCTAAGACAATCAGCCGTAGAAAGTAAATTAACTCGTCGAATTGTTTCTTTCTGAAATTCTTCATTATTTGGAGCATTGTGAAAACTAAAAAGAGGGAAAAAATTGTTAATTAAAAAAACACTAAATAAACTATAAATATCCTCCAAAAATTTCATCAGCTCCTTCTCCAGATAGAACAACTTTAATTCCTAATTCTGTTATTTTCTTTGAGAGAAAATACATTGGTGTAGATGCACGAACAGAGGTAACATCTTATTAAAAAATAAAAAAGAAATTTTATTTTAAAAATAACCATAAGTTTCTAAATGCCAAATTAATTTGTCTAAAGCAGCTATTCCTTCCTAAATAAATTTAAAAAAATAAATAAATATATTTAATTTACCTCAACACTAAAATAACACTCATGGTGTTCTGTTCCAAGAATTGCAGCCAATTTTCGAGCCTTAGAAATGAAAAAAAAATTTTTTTATAAATATTTATAAAAAACTAACAGCAACTAAATCGGGAGCATTAGCATCTAGACCTGTTTTAATTAATTAATAGATTTTAAAAGTTTGTATCAAAATTAAAGAAGGGGGAAAAATTAGAATTATTTTTATAATTATTTAGGTATTTTTGTTAAATATTGATAAAATAAATGAGACATTGTTGCATAATTTTTTAATTATTAAATAATTTACCAATAGAGAATGAACGAAGTTTATGTCCAACATTGTCTAATCCATGCATTTTTCTTACAGCAATTGCACTAACTAAAGAAGAATCTAATCCACCGGAAAGAAGAACGCCTGTAAAAATGTAAAAAATATTTAGACTAAATTTCATTAAAATAATTCCCAAAATTAAATTCCCTTTTTATTTAATTTTACCTATAGGTGCATCACTCATTAAACGTTTTTCTGTTGCTTGAATGAGACCATTTCGAAGTAATAATAAATCCATATGATTTGTAGCCAATTCCCAATTAAACCAATTTGGCTTTAAAAAAATAAATTTTTTTTCTAAAATAAATTTAGTAACATTATAATATCGAACAATTCCTTCTTTATGAGTAAAATAATGCCCGGGAGGAAATGCAAATACTTCAATACAACTATCCTCAATCACTTTAAGTTCACTACTATAAATAATTCAAAATATTTAACAAAAACCTTTCCTTTCCCAAACCTAAAAAGTTTTCTCCCCTCAGAATCAGTTCCCCAATAAAGTTGTTTAACACCAATTGGATCTCTTGCAACCATAAATTCATCTCCATAAATTAAAGCAAATGCAAAAACTCCATCCAAAGTTAAACACAATTCTCGTTCAAATCCTTCATTTAGACGAAGTTTTTCATAAAGACTTAAAAAAATTAAAATTAATTAATTTATCAGAAAAAAATTACGCAATAATTGACTCAGAATCGCAATGAGTACGAAATGCAAAATTAATAAGCTCGTTTTGTCGAAGAGATTCATGATTGTAAATTTCACCATTATGTATAACCTGAATTTTTTTTAAATTTTTAGATTAAAAAATATTTGGCATAATGTTTAATATTTTTTAAAACGAAAAAAAATGTCGTGAATAAAATATTTTTCAAAAATTTCTGAAAAAATAAACAAGAAATATACGAAAAAAGACAAACAACCGTGAGTCGATTTATTCGAAATATTTGGGGGTGTTGAGGTTTTTTGGAACGGACTTTAGTATTAAATCTCATGCTAGTTTTAACTATTATTTACTTGATGATCAGACTCGCTTCCCTGCAATGGCTGTACACACCCCAAATCAACAATAGCTAAACGTTCATGTGCCAATATATTACCGTTTTGAGGATGCTGATAAAAACCATGAAAATCTGGACCTAAAAATATTTTTAAAATAAATAAAAAGACTAGATTTTATTAAAAACAAAACCTCTATGTTTTTGTCTGGATGAAAGTTTCTGTGCTTTTTCAGCTGAAAATTTAGAACATTCTTTTGGATGAAATATTGCAAATATTCCACACATTTTTTATTAAATTATAAATTATAAAATACTTAAATTTATTAATAAAAATTATTTATATTTATATAAAAATATATAAAGTGAGTGATTAAGTAAAGAGAATTGCATCATTCTATTTATTTTGGTGGGCGGGACAAGCTAAAAATGTGGGAAAGAGAAAATGAACGGATGGGTAGAAATAAAAAATAAAAAATGGAAAATATTTATTTATTGAGAGAAGCTGGCAGAAAGAGAAGGAGAATCAGGAAATAATTAAGTAAAGGTTAAAAATAAATTTCTGTTAAATTTTTAAAAAATATCTTTTATTAATTGACTGAAAATAAAAAAAATAATTTTCAATAAAATTAAATGTTCAAATTTTAAAAAGATTTAATCTTTATTTAAATAAAATGATAATAATAAATTTAGTAAATAGAGTAAATATTAATTACTTAAATAATTGATTAAACAAAATCAATTAACATATATAATTCATTAATTAATTTAATATAATTGTAATTCACTAAGCCATACAAAACCAAAAAGTATTAATAACAAAATTGTCGGTACCAATCCAATAACACAGAGACAAAATTGGATGCGAGGTGCTTTAATAAAAATAATTTTTGTTTGAACAGCTTTTAAATTATTAATTGAATGAAAATAATTAAAAATAAAATATTTTTTAAAAAATTATTGGAAAATTAGTAAAAAATAATTTTTTTTTATTAAAAACAAAACGTTTTAAAAAGGTTTAATTACCCAAGTTTAAGTTTAAGATCATTAAAAAAAATCAATAAATGACTTCACAAAATATTAACAACAAGCGTCCTTATTCATATTCCAACTTTTCCCCTCCTGACCAAACATCAGGGAAAAAGAAATTATTAATTGACTCTATTAATGCAATTCCTCCGATTGGAGAATTGCCACAACTTGACAACAGCATTCCGGATTTTGCTAAAACCATTATTCAGCAAAATTATTCTTTAATTACCCATCTGACAAGTCTATTAAAAATTGCCACTTCTTTATTACAAGACACTCAAACTCCAACCGAAATTTTTGAAGAAAAAGAGCGACAGAGGTCGTTGGTGTTAATTAATTTACCTGAACAACCAACAACGACACCACCTTTCGAACGTGCAGTAGCTGACACTAAAGCTGTTCAAGGTTTACTTCACCAGCTGGGTGTGGAGTCTTATCCTAGTAGTATATATAGGATGGGTGTTTTTAAAAACCCAGCTGAAAAAGGTCACAAGCCCCGTCCCATTAAAATTCTAATGCCATCTTCTCAGCATCAACGGCACTGTTTGTCAGCTTGGAAAAGAGAAAGAATCAAAATTTGCAAAGACGAATTATCTAACATTTTCCTTCGGCCCTCTCTGACCTTACAACAAAGACAATTTGAATATGAACAACGAGTAGCAAGGCGTAAGGAACGTGAAAAGGCAAATATGGATGGAATTGAAGTAATTAATACGCAAAATAAAAATTTTTAATAAAACCTCTCTGTATTAAGCCGGGTTCAAACTATTCTTTTAATCATACTGCACCCAAAACTCTTAGTAAAAATACGAAAACAAATCAAAAAAGCATAACTTGTTTATATTTTAACGCGCGCAGTCTTAAAAACAAATTAGAAAATCTACATATTATATTAGAACAAAAGATGTATTTACTTTTACTGATTACCGAAACTTGGTTAGACACCAAAATATTAGACTCAGTTGTTATAGGTAATTTTGGTTATTCAATAATTAGGGCGGACAGAAATAAAGGAGTGGGTGGAGGATCATGTATAATTATCTCAAATACTTTACCATTTATTATCATCAAGTCCTGTCTAGGTTTAAGCTATGAAATCAGCGGAGTAGACCTTATTTTACCCAACAACAATATAAGAATACTAAACGTATATAGATCCGTTAATAAAGAAAACACTAAAACCTTTCATCAGCTTTTTGAAAATCTTCATGACCTTTCTTTAGACTCGCCTTCACTAATAATTACTGGGGATTTTAACTTCCCAAATTTATCGTGGTCAACTAACTCTCCACATTCTAAAAACTCTAAGGATGCACAATTTATAGAATTTATAGACTCACTTGAACTCACACAGCACGTCAATTTTCACACTCGTTTGGATAAAATTCTTGACCTAATTCTTAGTAGTCCAAAAAATCTGGTCAAAAATCCGCAAAAAAGCACACCTTTTGGTACCTCAGACCACAATCCAATATCTTTCGAAATCAATTATTATCGTGAGATTAAAGCACTTAAATCCCCGCAAAAGCGATTTTACAAAGCAAACTACACGGACATAAATAATTTCTTAAATAATATAGACTGGTTAAGTTGTTTTTCAAAAGCTTCAAATCTCAATGAACTCTATTCACAATTCCTCGAAATAACACATTATATAATTGAAAAATACATACCTATAACACAAGGAAAAATAGATCCAAAGGCAATTCCTATCCACATTCGTAAGCTTTACTCCCACCAAAAAAATCTTTTTAAGAAAATTCCAACTAAGGAAACCGCAAAACAAATAACACTACTTAGCAAAAATATTGACAAACAACTTAAAAAATTTTACAGAAATAGGGAAAGAAAACACCTTAAAAATTCCCTTTTTAGATTCAAATACACTAGTCAATTTTTGAAGCCTAAAAATAGCAATATTCCGACTATTTTCAATAAAAATGGATTGCCTGTCTTTTCAGAAAAAGTTAAAAGTAATATACTAGGCGATGAATTTAGTTCATACTTCAATAACGAAATTCCAGATTTAGAGGATCTAAGCCAAGATAACCCACAAATTCTCAATACTCTGGAATATACACCTATAACTGTAAATGATGTCTTTAGTTTACTTTGTCAAGCCAAAAATATCAGTAATACCAGTCCAGACCAAATTCCTTATATATTTTTAAAAAAATGTGCACAAACGCTAGCGCTTCCGATTTTTAATATTTTTTCATATTGTCTCATGTCCTCAAATATTCCTGACATTTGGAAAACCGCAATAATACAACCAATACCCAAAAACGCAAAACCAAAATCTGCACAAGATTATAGGCCAATAGGATTAACCTGCACTCTGCTAAAAGTTTTCGAACAAATTATAGCCAAACAAATAAACGAATTTCTGCTTAAAAATGAAATCCTACCGCCTTCACAGCATGGCTTTGTTAAAAACAAATCTGTAACCACGCAACTACTAGAAATTACAAACGACATATCACATGCACTAGAGGAAAAAAGCCTAATTGATATTGTATACTTTGATCTGGCAAAAGCTTTTGATTCCATTCCGCATGCACGACTATTTAAAAAATTAGAAATCATTGGAATTAAGGGAAATTTACTAATACTAATTAAAAATATAATCACTAATAGAAACTTCAAAGTTAGAGTAGGCGATACCTTATCTTCAACTTACGAAACACATAGTGGGGTATATCAAGGATCTGTACTCGCCCCAATATTATTTAACATTTATCTTTATGATTTACCGAAATACTGCTATAATGACAATATCAAATGCAAACTTTATGCAGATGATATAAAAGCGTATCAAATATATAAACAAACTAACCAAAACCAATTACAAAATTTTATCAATAAGTTTCACGAATATTGTTTAATCAATGGTTTGAATATATCTATAAACAAATGTCATACACTCTATCTTGGAAAAAACAACAAAAGAAACCCCTATAAAATTGGCGACAAATACATAGATTCATCATGTAACATTATTCGAGACTTAGGAGTATATTTTTCATCTGATTTTAAATTTTCGGAGCACACTCAAATTATCACATCTAAAGCACGAAGGACCATGTACAATCTACTTCACTCTATCAAATCTAAAGATCACAATATACTTATACACATGTTTAATACCTATATAAGAACCGGTTTAGAATTTGCCTCACCAATCTGGAACCCACACTTAAAAAAAGATATAATTAACATAGAAAAAATACAAAAATACTTCCTCAGGTCTATTTATGCAAGGAAGCATGGGCAGTCAAAAGGATTTAATTTCTCTAATATTCCAAAATACTCTAACCTACTGAAAATTTTTAAAGTCGAAACCTTAGAAATTAGGAGATATAAAATTGATCTAATTCTCTTTCATAAAATTATTTGGGGAAATATAAAAGTAGAACATAATTCATCTTTCTATTTCATCAACACTAAAACACGTGGGGAAGAATTTAAATTAAAAACACAAGCTTGCGCAACCACAATTAGATATAACTCCTTTTTTATCAGAACCGCTAGACTTTACTCTACATTACCGATAGAAATACGCAAAAATACTCCCATTAATTTTAAAAAACTATTGGATAATTTTGATTTGTTTTCACACATAACCTCCCTTAAAACTTAATTAAAGAATAGTTGAACTATTTATTTATATCAGATCATTTGTATTATAATTTATATATTATTGACCACATATTCTGTATTTTTTTTTTTGATCGCGCGTCAAACATGACGTAATAAATTGAAATTGAAATATTTTAATCAATTTTATAATTGTCTTTTGTATTGACAAAAAAGTGCGAAAATGTTAATTTCAAAATAAAAAGAATACAAAATTTTTCAAATAAAATCCACAAAATATGTACAATTTGCTAATTTTTTAAATCAGTTTCTTGGTTTCGACCGAAAACAAAAATTTTTTTCAAACAGCCAAGAAGCTTTTAATTTGCTTTTAATCCAAAATTCGTTTTTCAATATACCTCTATATAAAAATATGAAAGTCAAATTTAAAGTATTTAATTCAAAATAAGAAAACTCCCCCCGTACTTAATTTAAATAAAACTTCTTACATTTAATAGGCCAACAATAATTTTTAATTTTATTTGAACATGTACGTGGAATTGTATTTGATTCTAAAATTTTGCGAATATTTTCTGAATTTGTATTTTGATTGAGAACTAAAGGTAAAGGTATTGGATCAGCCATTTAATTTTTAAATAATTAAAAAATATAATTAAAAT